GGCGGGGAGCATGCATAAACTGACTGACCACACCCACAGCATAGGTAATATCTGGACGAGTGACAGTGAGATATATTAACTTGCCAACCAACCGACGATAACGACCAATATCAGGAAAGAAGTCGCCAGTGTCACCAGCAAGCTTGACACTAGAATCCATGGGAGTATCACTGGGGTGAGTGCCTAAGAGGCCAGTCTCAGTAAGAAGATCAAGAACATACTTTCGTTGAGAAAGAAACAAGCCCTGAGAAGAGTGGGCAACTTCAATTCCAAGAAAATACCGAAGATGGCCCAAGTCTTTGGTGTGAAATTGTTGTTCCAAATACTGCTTCAAATCAGTAATACCATTGGAGTCACTCCTTGAAATGATGATGTCATCCACATAGACAATAAGAACAATACTCCTAGTAGACGAGCGGCGAACAAAAACAGAGTGATCAAAGGTGGAACGGTGAAATCCATAGCCAAGCACAATAGCACTGAAACGATCAAACCAGGCACGAGGGGACTGCTGAAGACCATACAAGGCCTTCCGCAATCGACGAACAAGATGCTCTTGATCGGGAACAAGATAGCCAGGGGGCTAATCCATATAGACTTCCTCTTGGAGATCACCATGAATAAAGGCATTCTTGATATCAAATTGATATAAAGGCCAAGACTTATTAACTGCAACAGAGAGAAGAATCCGAACAGAGTTAAGACTAGCCACAGGAGAGAAAGTCTCCAAGTAATCAACACCATAGGCCTTTGTGTAGCCTTTAGCTACCAGGCGAGCCTTAAGCCGATCAACAGTGCCATTAGGAAGATATTTAACAGTATAAATCCAACGATAACCCACAATAAATTTGCCAGACGGCAGAGAGGTAAGTTCCCACGTTTGATTCTGATAAAGAGCATGCATTTCTTCATCCATGGCATGCTTCCAACCAGAGATGGACATAGCCTGTTGATAGGTGCGGGGAATGGAAATACTAGTCAAGCTACAAGCAAAAGAGCGAAGTCCAGGAGAGAGGCGATCATAAGAAACGAAATAAGTAATAGGATGTTGAGTGCAAGTTCGTGTATCTTTGCGGAGTGCAATAGGAAGGTCATCAGATGGCAGATCAGCAGGTGGAACATGGGCCTCAGACGAAGAAGATGAACTGGTCGGGCCATAAGACACAATGCGACGAGCTTGAGACCATTGATAAACCTGCAAAGGGGGGGTAGAAGTGTGATGAGATGGAGAGGATATAGGAGTCGATGTGGAAGGACCATAAGAGAGGAGTAGGAGTGAGAGAGGTTGGCTCCCCCTCATGAGAAGAGAGAAGATCAAGAGATAATTGTTGCCCAGAGGAAGAAAAAAAAGGAGTAGACTCAAAAAAGGTAACATCAGCACTGACAAAGTAGCGACGTGACTCAAGATGATAACACCGATACCCTTTTTGAGTGCGAGAATAACCTAAGAACACACACTTGTGTGCTCGAGGAGATAACTTATCCAAACCAAGGTCAAGAACATGGACAAAGGCCACACAACCAAAAATGCGAGGAGGCAAGGGAAAATGAGATGTTGTGGGATATAACAAAGAATAGGGAGATGTGTGTACAACACTAGAGGACAGATATGCGATTGATAAACAAACAAGCGGTGAGAACTACATCGCCCCAAAACTGTTTGGAGATATGCATATTAAACATCAGGGTGTGAGCAACATCTAACAAATGGCGGTGTTTCTGCTCTGCAACACTATTTTGAGGGAATGTATGAGAACAAGTAGTCTGATGGATAATACCATGAATATCACAAAAGGTAGTTACAATAGATTGCACATATTTTAAGGCATTATTAGACTGAAATATCTTAATACGTTTGCCAAATTGAGTAAAAATTTCATTATAAAACTTAGAGATGATGGAAGGCAAATCAGATCTTTGTTTCATTAAAAACAACCAAGTCATCCGAGAGTAATCATCTACAAAAATAACAAAATAAAAGAACCTATTAACAGTGAGAGTTCTTGAAGGACCCCAAATATCTGTATGGACAAAAGCAAACGACTCAGACACATGACTAATACTACGACTAGGAAAAGAATTACGGTGATGCTTCCCAAATTGACAAGCTTCACACGCAATCTGAGAAACATGACTCAAGCCCAGAACAACTAACTTGAGCTTGGTTAAGGAGGGATGACCCAAGCGAAAATGTCACTGAAGAGGAGATACACTAGCACTCAACACATCAGATGGAAGATGAGGAGAGGTCTCAGTGTCCAAAAAGTATAAGCCATCATTCTCATGTCCCGAACAAATCATTCTCTTGGTCTGGAGGTCTTGCAAAACACATGAAGTAGGAGAAAAGGTTATCGAACAATGGAGAGCTTGAGTCAATTGGCTAACAGAAAGCAAATTAAATGGAAATTTAGGAACATAAAGACTAAAAGGTAAGGAAAGGGATGGAGTGGACCTTGACCACAGACAGACTAAGAAGATCCATCAGCAAGTATAATGGTATGATCAACAAGTCTAAGAGTATCAAAAAGAGAGGAATTACTGGAGACATGGGAACTAGCACCATAGTCTAGGAGCCAAGGCTGAGGGGACTTAGTCACACATGCAATATTACCTGAACTAGCTATGGTAGCAGTAGAGGATGAAGGTAGACTAGGCCGGAGAGACTGGACAAGAGTAGTAAGCTCACTAATTTGAGTAGTGAGTGTCTCATGAGAATTAACCGGAGAAACATCCGAGCCAGTGGATAACAAGGAAGACTGTGAGGATGGGACATCCATAACCTGATGGACATGATCAGGTTTGCCATACTTCTGCTAACACCAAGGTTCAGTATGACCTTGGGAACCACAATGAGTACACTTGCGATCACCATGTGTACGAGAACCAGGTCCACTACTACCGCCACCATGGAAACCACCACGCGAGCCACCACTACGAGAACCACCTCCACAAGAGCCCCGTGAACCAGAATAAGAGCCCCGAGAACCAGATGAACCATGAAAACCCACGCGAGTAGCCATGATCACCACTACTAGAAACCAATGCAGAAGATGATAAAGTAGAGGACCTAGAAGTGGATTGTGCTTGTCCCAATGAAGAGCGTAACAGCCGAGAATAGGCATTGGCAATTGAAGGTAGAGGCTCACTGGCAAGAATCTGATCCTTGAACCCTCGCAACTCAGGATCTAAGCCAGAAAGTAAAGAAGCCATCATAAACTTTTCCTAATGTTGCTTCTGCTTGTTCACATCAGTAGTGAAAGGTCGATGCTGCAGTAACTGATCCCACAAAGTCTTGAAACTACTATAATAATCAGGGAGAGACCTGCCAGATTGGCGCATAGCAAAAATCTATTCATACAACTCATAGACCCAAGAGACATTACTTTGATTTGAAAAAGACTTAGCAAGGGAGTCCCAAATGTCCTTAGAGGCATCACAAAATTCCATGGTAGTAGCAACATGTGGTCCCAGATTATGCCAAATCTAACCCATAACACAGGAATCCTCACTACACCAATCATTATAAGCTTTATCATCAGCAGGAGGAGGGAGTTCGCTAATGAAACGGGACTTCTTTGTACCACGCAAGAAAATTTTGACGGCGTGGGCCCAATCCAAATAATTGGCACCATTTAATTTCTTGGTAGTGATAGATTTAGGCATTTCATCATCCTTACCTATAATTATAGCCTTAGCCTTAATCTCAACCATAATGATCAATCACACAAAATTCTCAACATGAGCATGAAAAGGACAAAATACTTGCAAACAACCAATATCCATAACAACCATCACCAACAATCATTAATATAGACATAGAAGTAGCTCAAAAAATAAAAAACCACAGCAAAAATAGGCAAGAGTGAGGAGAACATAGGTCTGCCAACCAAATTGGGACCCAAATTAGACCAACACACAAACTCAATAGCAGAAATCAAGAAATAGAGGACAAATATCCCTTACTAGAAGGATTTCAGCCCTTATATAGGAACCTTCAATAGGTAGAATTGAAGAAAACAGTGCTGCTGGACCAGAAATAGGCAATAATCAAACAACACATCAACCCAACGGTAGCAAAACCACAAATTAAGATCAAGGACCCCTAGGGATGGGATTTTCGGCTCCTAGGGTAGTGATTCCAACAAGAAAAAACAGCAAAAAGCAGTCCCAAGAGCAGATTTGAAAAACATTCCCAAAAAATGTAAAATTCTTTCAAAAATCGAACACTCACACCAGGGATGATTAAAAAATTTCACAAAAATCACCATAAATCTCAGGAAGCAATTTCGAGTCTAGGGGTGAAGGACCCGTCTGTACAGTGCTTACGTCATGCTGACGTCATTGTACGGTTGATAATATCAGCAGGTCTCGGTCACCTCAGATCGATCTCCAGAGTCTGTGGATACCTTTTTGATGAAGAATAGATTGCTCTGATACCAAGTTAGAATGTAAAATGAAGTAATTTAGGGTTGAGATTTAGGAGGAGGAAGAAGAAGAAGAAGAAGAAGAAGAAAGAGAAATTGAAATTTTATATATATCGAATAATCATAGTTTCTCAACTTTACATCAGTCAAATATATATACGAACCCTAACATAACAATATGACCATCGTACCCTCTACTTAAGTAAATATTAACAAAAGAACAAAATAACAAAATAAGTATTCTAACAAAAATAATAAGTGTTTTAATTTTTAGTCAAGGGTAAAAGAGTCTTTTTATTTTATTTCCCAGCTCAGGATATATAATCTCACCCTTAACCCATTACTAATAATCCTACAAATTTGTTGGGTTAATTATTCATTGGATTAATAATACTGAAACAAAATTTCAAAACAAACACAGGATTATTGGGCCCACGGATTAATAATCCCAATCCCATGCTCTAATCCTGTCAATCAAACATGCACTTAATGTTTCTTTTGGTTGTTGAATTTATTTTTGGCTTATTTGCACTCGAAACTTGGACTGTTTTGAAGATGTTGTATGGCTGGTAACAGGCTGAGAAATCTAAGGAGAAGGAGGAACTCATGTCACAGAAATTGAATAATCTCCAGAAGAGGTATTTTCTCAATAATTGGTGTTCATTTATTTATTTTTTATGTTGAAAAAGTCCGAATAAAAATTCCTTGTTGAAGACCATGCACAGAGGGATGCTTATATGGATCCTGGAAATGTGATAAAAACGAGTGAAGAATCTGGAGGAAATTTTGGAAATGTCTTTTTTCAGTGAATGCATCTTGGGGCTGATGTTTGGTTTTGGGGAAAACTTTTATTGAGAATTAAGTATTAACACCCAAGTTTTTCTTGTTATTGAGTTTTTCATCCAATCATATGCTGTCAAATGAGGTTTAAATAGCGCGAAATGCTTCCAGTTGACCTTAAATGCGTACAGTTTTATCATTGTTTCGTACTCAAACTTTTAGACTTAGTTTTTCTACCGTCTTCCTTTTTCATGACCTTCCATCAGTCAATTTTGTTTTTATTTTTGGGTGATTGTATATATGATGGGAAAAATATAAATGGCTTCTGTTACTCCATAACATGAAGAAACATTTGGTTTCTTCATTTGGAAATTTGGTTTCTTTGGCAGCCAGTAATATTTGTGCCTTCAAAGGGGTAGAGAACTTGACAAGTTGAGCTGCATGAGGATGCTTTATATCCTACTACTGTACTGGATCATGTTATTGGTTTTTAGCGAAAGATGTTTTCGGGTGCTGTTGCTATATAGGATTGTTTAGAATCATTTCTTCAAAATTAGGCTGTTTCATCTTGGTGGTGTTTTCGGCATCATTTATGTATGATGGCTTTATGAAATTTATATATGTTGGCATTTATCTCCTAAAATAGGCTCTGATTACTTAGTCACATTTTGATAGTTTTTTTGAAGCCTTGAAATGTTATTTTTATAAAAAATTTCTGAATTGTTTTTCCACACCATCCTTTTAGGGTGCTTGTTGCAGTAGGTTTTGGTGCTGGAACATTCCCCTTGTTCATATGCTTACTGCTGCCATTTTCACGGGGTTCATGCAACCTTAATTTTCATGCTGTTGTGATTTTCCAGTGAACTTTGAACTAGGAATCATGCATTAATCTTTATTATTGGGCACTAGGTGCAATAGATTATCCTGCTAATTGTTGATGGACATACATTGGATTGGTGCCGCTGATGCAGGGTAGAAGAGCTTGACACTAATTTTTTTGAAGAAAAGAAACTCACAGCTGCACTGCAGATTGATCTAGAGGAGCAGAACAAGCAGAATGAGACTTTCAAAAAGGTAGCTGTCTCTACTCACCTTCTTCTCTCCATTCATAAGGATCATTATTGTTAAAATTTTGTATTCATGATTTGAATCTTATGATCCAATCCCTCTTTGATGCGGTTTAATAGTTCGAATCTTATAACATCATATGAGTCCTGCAAATCAAAACAGAATCACACAATTTACAATCTGGAAACTGCTTGTGTAATTCAAAAAGCTGCATAGCCCTCCTGACAATTGCAAGAGCAAGGAACATATAGGAAATATTGAGAGTTGATATACTACCCTTTTCTTTTCTTCCTTTTTGTAATTCCATTTTTTCAACAAACAAAAAATTTGATCGTTCTGTACAAAACCCAAAATCAAGAACCATATTCACCTTATGTTACCAACTTGCAGTGGGAGTTATCTTGAAGTATATTATTTAGAGTTTTAAGAGTTTTTAGTTTTTTTTTTTTTTATTATTATTATTTTTGTAAATTTCCCCAGTAAACTCTGCTGAGTAGTTACTGTTTTGGTTGCTTGGTTTTCCATCATAAATGATTACTAAGAGAAAAGTAAGCATAGAAATGATGGAACGCTAGAATGTATTGAAAAGGTGATGAGATGTAATTTCAGATAAAACATGGCGAAAGTCACAAAAATGTTTGTGACTGTTTAAGGGCCATGGAAGATGTTAGAAAGTTTTTCTAAAATAAAATAAGATCCATTGAAAAGGAAGAATGAATATGATAATGTTTTCATATGAAGCATCAGTTACTCGAAACTGGACAAGAACTTTCTAACTTCTCAAGAGAATGTGAAGGGATTATATAGATGCATTTGTTACTCTAGTCATATAGGAAAGGAAAATTTTGAAAGGTTATTGAATTATAAAGAAGTTGGAATGATAATTTAAAGTATTTGTAGATTATTCTGGGCATGCTTTAGCTTTTAATCGGACTTAGAGTCCTTTGTTTTTAGAGATGATGAAATCAGTTGGTGAATATGGCAAAGGGTTAAAGCTCCCTTCTTATAAGAGGACCAACATCACTTAAAAAAATGTGCATCCAATGCACAAGGCTCCTGCCAAAGCGGTCTTGGGAAGGCAAGATGTATGAGCTAGGGTTTGTTAGGGCTTGTCTCAATTGTTAAATGAGTCTAAAAATTGGCTCGAGCTCGTTCATTTAACTAATGACCTGAGTTCTAATGAGCTTTAATCGAAGTTTGGTTTGTTTGCAGCTCTACCAAAAATAAATTATGTGAAGAGATTCGCACATTATATGAGTGAAGGGGACGCAGTTTTAAATTTTTTTTTTTTAAATGGTCAAGGAAGAGATGAAGGGCACTGGAGAACGTTATGAAAGAGAGCAGTAATGCCAATGAACCTTTGGGAAAACTACAACCCTGTCAGTCCTTTTTGCTCTATTTGTTTCTCCATCTTCTTCCTCTATGAGTATGCCGCTTCCGTTTTACAGGCTTCTAGTTCTATACATTCAAAGTGAAGGGAGACGATATATTAATATGTAATGTCAGTTTTTGAAGGTATTCATAATATTAATATAGCTTCATGATTTGTTAATCATGAGGGCATGCATTCTAATATTATGATTGTTTAATGAATAGATAAATTTGCTGAGCTAATTCAGTCAAAATCAGTCTTCGTGCTCATCTCATTTTATAATGGAGCTCAAAAGTCAGGTTGGAGCTCAGTTTGCTTACCTTCATGAATGAACTTCAACAAGCCTTAGGCAAGCTGATCTCCAAGCTGTTCATGAACAGCTCAATTCATTTGTAGCCTCAGTTATGGTTATTGTACATCCTCATCTGGTGTTTTGGAGAAAAAAATTCTGGAACCTATAAATCTTTTTGATGTGTAGTTATATTTATTTATTTTTCTCTTTTTCATCTTCGATTAGTTCTGATGGGCATAATCTTTGTTTTGACAGGTTATTAATAAGTTTTATGAGATCAGGCAATATTCCATAAATGGCTTTTGTGAGGATAGGAGTTGGGAAGATAAGTGTGAGTGCCTTCTGCATGATTCGCCAGAAATGTGGGATTTCAATGATCAAGGGGAAACTTCTACCTCTAAATACATTGTAAGTTCTGATAACCTGTATGTTTGGTTATGTTTCATTATGAGTCCTCATTGATAGCTGTTTATTCCAGCATCACTTGAATCTTGGTACAGTGGTGCTGATGCATTGACTTGTTGATATTAGATCCATAATAAATAACATTTTATGAATGTACCCACTGTGCTCTACTGAAATTCCAGACTCCACTGTCTTGGTAATTTTTAGTACTCTCTTCTGTGCATAAGAGCTCTATGGTTACAAGTTGTTACAGACGTATGAGAAAGTGTTGTTTTGCATGACATAAGGTTGACATAACAGTTCCTATTCAAGTGCTGCATTCATTGGGACATATCCACTGTGGAAAAGGAAGTTACTAAGAAATATTTTAGGCCATAGTGCTGATAAAAAAGAAAAACAAAAAAAGAGGAAAATTTTAGTATTGAATCATATACGAAACGAAAAATATTGTTAAATTACCAGAACATGAATTAGGTCTTGGGGAATGTATAAACATTGAAATATTTAGAACTTTGTTCTCTCCTGTCTCTCACCCCCCCTTTTTGTCTCCTATGTCTCTCTTATTCTCTTGGAATGTGAGTCTTGGAAGACACAATAGCTTGTCATCTTATGTCTTCGTTCTTCTCCTTCTATTTCACCTCTCATCATTAATGGGGGGAGTAAGAGTTGGCATGTTTATTTGACCTTCATGTGTTCAAATAATTACTTTTAAGATCCGGGTTACATCAAATCCCTACTGCACCAATTTTGAAATCTGGAAATAATTGGATTTCACACCTCTTGACCGGTGATCTACATCATGCCATGTGATGACCAAAAACTTGAACTTTCCTTCTTTTACGCAAGTTATGAAGTTTGCAACTGCATGGTGATGTTCTCTTCTTGAGAATTTTGCAAAATAGGAATATAATTAAAATATTAGTGTCTGTTGTTTGCTTGCCTGTTAAATAAGTGATACTCATTTAATGTAGTTCTTTTGTATTTATGAACTTGCTTTGTCTAGTACAATATTTCATTGATGCACAGGTCAAACAATAATGTTCGCCTTGGGAAGATGGTTTGATTCATGTCTACTTGGAGCTGAGGAGAACTAAATGGTTTTGCTCCTGGGTTTTCGTTCATGTTTACTAAAACATTTCCTTTTTTTTTTCCTTAGAGATCTAGATGATTCAAAAAAGCATACAGATGAAAGTTAAACAAACTTAGCACCATTCAGTGCAATATTTAACAAATTGAATTGTAACTCGAATAACTTAGCACCATTCAGTTTTTTAGAATTTTCTTTCTGCATTCTTGTTTGCAACTCGAATAACTTTTCATTCAGACAGAATGGTCTAGAAGAACAAGTGGAGAAATTGAGAAAATCTGTGGATAATCTTCAAAACAAGTTATCCGTGGTATGGAGATGTAGTTTCTGGTCTGTATCATTTATTGATGTAGTAATTTTCTATTGCTTATCCAATAACAATGGTTGGTTTCTTTATTTTTGGTGTATAGGGATTGGAAATTGAAAATCATTTAAAGAAGCGAGTCCGTGATTTGGAAAAGAAGAAAGTAAGAACTTTGTTTGCTTCAGGAATGACATGCACACCAAACCCTCCTTTGCTCTGTCTTGACTGTATTAACCTGAATGCAGAGTTTTTCTGAAGAAATGATTAAGAGGGGGATATCAGGGTTACATCATTACCATTCTGAGCACAAGGCTTACATCATGAATTTACTTGATGAGGGATATTCTGATCTTAAGTCAATTATTGAAGTGGTAGAAGAAAAGATAAGGCAACTCGATGCAAGCAGAGAACAAAGTTGGAAATCTCCTCTAAGAGATGTAATGCTAGATGAAAATGATTGTCGAGATCTACATGTAAACACAATTGCTGATCCCAACTTGTTCAATAAGGTTTGTTCACTTATGTATTATGCTGTACACTTGCTTTCTGTACTTGCACCCATGTGCTTATGTGTGTGTCTCTCTCTAGTGAGTAGTATCATCTTTACCTTCATTTTTATCTTTTTTGGTGTTCTCATTGTAAACTAACATGGGATATGGTAGTAAAAAAAAGATAATGAGTTATTTGATTTAACTAAGCGTCAAATATGAAGCTTTTCAGAAGGAATACATCTATTCTTGGCTAAAATTTAGAAGCATTCTACAGTTTTTATAATAAACTAGGATGATTAATCTGATTGAAATTGTGTTAGCTCCAATATCAGTTTGGTGATGCTCAGTTAGTTTGTTTTCTTTGCCCATTAACATTGGTTATTATATTGCTTTATACTATTTGAAGGTGTACTAGGGCATTCTGATTAGAATGAAATCGAAGTCTTGTTATAAGAGACTCTGTCATATCTCATTTAATATCACCTTTTTGTTTTGTGTTTTTAATGCTAGGAATAATAGTGTTTTTGACTTTTAGTTTCTTGAGCTATGTTGAATTATCCCAATAATTAAGATCCTTGTCCATTATGTGCCATGGTTTGATGCATTTTTGACATTGAAAATAATGATTTCTCTACACAGCATCTTTTTACCAGATATTCGTATTAATTTTATGGTATCTCCACATAGCTCATCTTTGGTATTTGCTTTGCCTTAGAGAATTTAATGGGGGGAAAAAGAAGTGATAGCTTGCATTTTGGCCCACTACCATCCATTTTTTACTCTGAGATCTGATATCTCTCCAACAATTGACAGAATACTGAGTTTAAGCTGGACTACAGCCAATTCTCCATTTTCCTTTAGATTGTCTGGTTTTCATTTTTGATATTGATCTGATTTATTTTTCCGTTGCAGTGGAATGTCCCTAGATTGCCAAACTCCATGGATATTGCTAGTGGTGATGCCTCTAAAGCCCTTGCGCAGGCATTACAAGAAAAGGTTTTTGTCGATATTCTCATGTCATTTCTTTTTATCTCTATTTTCTTTGTGTTGAGTGTATTTGTTAGAATTAATGTATAGGAAAAGAGAGAGAGAATAAATTGATTGTATTATTGATTGATGTATTGATTTCTATTACAATGATTCATGATTCCTATATATAGAAGAGGGTGAGTGTGTAGTAGGTAAGGAGTAGGTGAAGTGGAGGTGGTAGTGGTGTAGTGGGTTAGGTTTAGTAGAGTAGGTTTAAGTGGGTGAAGTAGGTGATAGGTTTTAACAGCCCCCGCAAACTCAAGGGGGATAGGAACTAACCAACTTGAGTTTGGAGAGAATAACAAAACAAGAAAATACATAAAAATAAAAGAGGATAGGAGACACGGTATGGTCGTGTCAGACCATTGGTGAAAACACTGGATGGTGGTGTCATAACGTTGTAGAGGAACTGTATGGGGGTGTCATAACCATGTAGAGGACACTGTATGGTGGTGTCAGACCGATGTAGAAGGAAGCACGGATACAGATACGGGATACGGATACGATACGATACGGATACGGCGATACGACAAAATTTGAAAAACTAGGATACGGGTACAGCAGGGATACGTTCGTAAAAAATATTATTTTAACAATTTTTAGTAATGCAGTATGCATAAAAATAAAACCTAAAGCAAAAGACAACTTGATAAAGAAGAAAGATTCCTATAAAACTAAGAGTCTTCAAGGTCAATAGCTTCAACTTGTTCCCCTTCATCAGTGAATATCACAAGACCTTAGCTAAAGCCAAAAAACCATTCTTAAATAAAAATTTCAGCAAATATACTTTTTTAAGTCATCAATGATAGCTTAGGAAGCACGGATACGGATATGGTGATATGGGGATGTGGATATGGCGATATGTCAAAACTTGAAAAAGTATGATACGGGTACAGCGGGGATACATTCGTAAAAAAAATTTATAATTTATAATTTCAAACATTCATAAAACATCCAAAACTAAAAGCAAAAGCAAAGGCAAATTAAACATCATCCTTACATGCCAACATCAAAAAAAGAATGAGAGCAAAGAGAAGAAACGCGAGAGAGTGAGAAAACGAGAGAGAAGTGAGAGAGACAACAAGGATACATCAATTTGACAAATTCTATTACTTTAACTCTCACTATATTCCTTTTATCAAAGAACTAAACAAAATATTATAAGTAATATGTAACTTCGAGTATCTGATACTTCAAAATTAATAAAAAATTAATTAAGAAGTATCCGATACTTTTAAGAAGTATCCGATACGTATCCGCGAGTATCCGAGGAGTATCGGTATCCGATACGGATACGTCACCCTTTTTGAAGTATCCGTGCTTCATAGGTTATAAGAGACTCTGTCATATCTCATTTAGGCTAGGTTTGGCATAACCTATATAATCCGTCTTTTTATCTTTTTATCTTTTTTCCATCACATCACCTCTCTACTTTTCTGCACATCTTTTCATAAAAAGACAAAAAGTGCACTTTTTTAGGACACCCCAAACCAACCCTTATCACCTTTTTGTTTTCTGTTTTTAATGCTAGGAATAATAGTGTTTTTGACGTTTAGTTTCTTGAGCTATGTTGAATTATCCCAATAATTAAGATCCTTGTCCATTATGTGCCATGGTTTGATGTATTTTTGACATTGAAAATAATGATTTCTCTACACAGCATCTTTTTACCAGATATTTGTATTAATTTTATGGTATCTCCACATAGCTCATCTTTGGTATTTGCTTTGCCTTAGAGAATTTAATGGGGGGAAAAAGAAGTGATAGCTTGCATTTTGGCCCACTACCATCCATTTTTTACTCTGAGATCTGATATCTCTCCAACAATTGACAGAATACTGAGTTTAAGCTGGACTACAGCCAATTCTCCATTTTCCTTTAGATTGTCTGGTTTTCATTTTTGATATTGATCTGATTTATTTTTCTGTTGCAGTGGAATGTCCCTAGATTGCCAAACTCCATGGCTATTGCTAGTGGTGATGCCTCTAAAGCCCTTGCGCAGGCATTACAAGAAAAGGTTTTTGTCGATATTCTCATGTCATTTCTTTTTATCTCTATTATCTTTGTGTTGAGTGTATTTTGTCTGCTATTGCTGTGTTAAATTGTTGATTTTAGTACTCATCCATTCAACATTCTTCAGGTTGCAGCTTTATTGCTTCTATCACAACAGGAAGAAAGGCATTTACTGGAGAGAAATGTAAGTGCAGCTCTTCAGAAAAAAGTGGAGGAGCTTCAGAGAAACTTACTTCAGGTAATTTTTGAAATGCTCTTTTGCTCTACTTTAGGTTTGGTGTTTTGGTAGTAGGATGTTTTCTTCCATTGCTTAATATATTGTGCATGTTAAGGCTGGTGAATGTTGAATAGATGTTTTTTTTTTTTTTGATAAATAAAATTTATTGCCAAAGCATCAAGAAGATGCTAAAGAATACAAGGAAAACCAAACCCGAAAACAGGGGAAATCTAACCAATCAAATCATCTATGAAGTCCATAAAAATAATATAATATGGTTTAAATTAGGAATTTTTTCTTTGGAAGAGATATGAGTAAGGAGACTTTAAATTATATGGTTGCACTACCCTATGTTCAGTAATGAAAAAGACAACTTTTGGTATATCTAAATAGATTTAGCTGTAGTTCATGGGAACCCTTTTTATCAAGTAAATTCCACTTGTAAAGAAGCATCTTCTAATCATTGGCCACCAGAATTATGAGACTACAAATTTTGTCACCAGGAATCAATGAAGGATTATATAGAATTCTCAAGAAATGCTACTTTACATAATTTGATTTAAAGGTCAATAAATACTATGGTTTATTTAGAGGCAATCCTCTCTATAGATAAACTTGTCAGGAGAGGAAGAAGTTCCCTTCCTAGTGTTACATGTGCAAGAAGAATGGGTAGTAGGTAGAACCACTTTTATTTGTTTTGTAGTCCTTTGTGAGATCCTATTGGCTTGCTTTGGGATTTAGTGGTTATGGCTTGCTCAGTTTTGGAGGTGTTGAGATGTTTGCAAGAAGGGTGTATTTGGAAGAACTTGTAAGGATGTGCAGATGGTAAACCCCTTGTCATGCTTGGAGCATTTGGCATGAGAGCAACAGTCTTTTGAAGAAATTGAGTGACCAGCAATAAAACTGACAGAGCTTTCTTATTAATTTTTGGGTGCTCTAGGCATGGTCATTTTTCTACTGTACTTTTCATAAATTTTGTTAGTGGATTGAGTTTCTAGATAGGGCTTAGTTTTTGATGCACCTGGTATGCACCACATGTATGTAGGTTCCACCGCTACTGTGGTGATTGTTTGGGAAAAAATTCTTTGAAAAAAACAAAAAAGAAACTTGGGACTTTAGTCGTGTATATATGTTCGTGTAGGTCTTCCTTAGCATGCTTATTTAAATGTAAATTGGTTCTTCCTGTTATGTCTTGGATGATGCTATTTGTTACTGAATACAAATGGCTGCCAAGTACTTTGTTAATTGGTTCGATCTGTAAACTGATAAATTGTTTTGCTGTCTTAGGTGACAAATGAAAAGGTAAAAGCTCTTATGGAGTTAGCACAATTGAAGCGGGAATATCAACTTTTACAAGAGTAAGAGTTATTTATTTATTATTTATTATTATTAATTTTGTTTGAGAGCATAGATATTTTATGCTAGTTTTGTTATTGGTTGAGTTGATCCATGAGTGTGTTCCTTTCTTTTCTTTTTAGATAGTTTGTCTATATAAAAACTATTTAAGTTACGACTAGAATGAGGTGTAGAATGCTTATTAAGATCTTTATAGTATTAATTAAAAAACATTTTAAAATCACTTCCACACCTTAAGCAAAATATATTTTTAGATGTCACAATATTGATTAAAAACAACAAATTTTGATTAAAATGATCCAAACATGCATATCATGGAATTTTAGAGGGTTTGCTGATATTTTAAATAAGTCATGGCCATCATTTGATTCCTGATACATATCACTCGATGCTCTTGATACTATTACACCGCTTCTGATTCCGTTATTTAGAATATTGTTTTCTAAGGTCAGCCAAGGTGTAGGTCTTTAAAGGGAGACTGGGACAAACACATTGACGGACCCTCAACTCTACCCACCAAGTCATAGAGGTCTCGCGTATAAGTCACATGGTTTGGACACTCTATGATTGCAGCACAATACCTGAGAGGTTTCCTAGACCCTGCTCTCGACTTTCGTGTGAGAGTATCAAGTTGCCAATGGAGAGAAGAGGCTTTTGAGGCATGAAAGAGGCACACTTGGGTGGAGAACCATTCGGTCACGCCCCAAGAATACCAATAATATTATTGTTACAATGAATGAAGAGGTATGTATTCAGACTAAATTGAGGGGGAACAGAGCACCTTATTGCAGCATACTTAGAGTGCCTCTAGAGTGTGTCCTTAAGCACCTGGGTCCAAGGTTTAAAGCACCGTGTATAGTAGTATCCTTACAACCAGCATGGCTCGGCCCAAGATGGGAGTTATTTGAGTGGGTCACATGTCACTTCATGAGGCTGGCATGGTTGAACTCAAATATGACAAGGAGATGACACGGCAATGATGTAGAAGGGCCACATGGCTTGTAGACCCATGACCCACACATGGCATGTGTTTCATCAAGACTTTTCTGTATGGCTCTGATGTTTTTAATTTTCCTTTCTCTTTTATCTATAGAGATGCTATGGGCAGAGAACTTTCTGCTTTTGTTATGCGAAGCTCTTTTTTTACTTGAGCTTTTTATGCATTTGCTCAGAAGCAAATTTTGTTCTACTGGGATTTAATTAAAATTACTTTATAATTTTTATGACCAGCATTTGGCACATTTATGCAGGAAAATCAATAATGAGATGAAACAAGGAAAACTTTTGGCTGATATTGGGGAAAAAAGGATTGTTCCGGACAGCAATGGAAGGTTGAAAAACATGCTGAAGAGAACATATCTGAAACGCTGGATTGGTACAGTAGATTCTCCTGGATATGGAGATGAAGCTCACCTGAAAGGGAATGTAAGCGATAGACGGTCTAATTATAGCATGGATATCGCCAGGTTTGTGCAAACATTTGTAATGCTTTCTTGATATTGCTTGTTGCAAGTGCCAGTGATTGTATGGATGGAAAATAGTATCCCTCGATATCATCCCTGTGACCTGTCAAATGCAAACATCCACAGAGAACATCCCGATTCTTGCTTTCTTTGTTATTAATTTTCCTTGACACAATTTTGCAGGATGAAGATTGAAAATGCAACCCTTAAGGAGAGCTTGGAAAGTATGGAGCATTTGACATCTGCAGTTCGTAGGCTTCGTCTATCACTCTTAAAGGTGATCATTCTGCACTGTCATAGCGTTTCATCTGTGGAATGTGGATATGTACTTACTTGTTGCCTTTATGATGTGAAGAATGGGTGATATCAATTAAGATATATGTCACCAGCAATATAAATAAATAAATATATGAATAAGATATATGTTTATGAATGATAATCCATTTAGAAAATATCTTTTGTTTATCCTCATTAGATGTTTACCAAACTCCTAGCATTTGCTTTTGTATGCTGAAATGATAACATGTTGTTTGGTGCAATTTCTTGTAAACTGAGAGCTGAAAATTGGAAAACAGAAACTAAAAGCACCCCACTCTCACCTTCCCAATAATCGTCTTATTTTCACATAAGCTATAAGCAAAAGCTGCACATAACTTCTATAAGGTGCACCAACCAGGGCCTTGTTCTGGCTTTTTACTTTGCATGTTTTTTTCTATTTGCTATAGTGTTTTCACATGTGTTTGGCTTTTCACTTTGTATGCTTTTTCTATGTACTAGTCTGTAGTGTTTTCACATATGTTTGGCTAAGACTAATGATATACAAACATAATTTTTGTACAAAATTCCTATATAGAATGATGGAAGCTTCTTGTAATGTCTTTATTTCCAATTAAAACACTCACTAGTGTCCTCATAATTAAAAAAATGTCATTAACACGTCATTCTGGATGTGTTTTTTTGTATGAACTTTTTGTTTGTAAATCATTTTCCTTGACTAAAAATCCATTGAGTTTTTGCCTTATTGCTTTCCTGAGTTTTTAAATTTTTTTTTTTTGGACTTGTCATAATCTATTTCATAGGTTAAAGAATCAGTTGCATCCGAAGGTACAGTTACTGGCCCATTAGAAGCTCTTGATGATATTATTACTGAGGCAAAACTCGTGAAGACCGCCCTCGGCATCTCCCTTCCTGTCAGTTGGTCAGCTGAGGCAAATATCATATCCTCTGGCAAAAGTTTTGATGAGGAGACAAATAATGTTGGCAGGGACTCCAATGGTGACATTGATTTTGTTTCTGCAGCTGGATATGAGACAGTGGAGATCCTAATCCTCGCTGCTCAGATATTGAAGGACGACATAACTACGAGAGGTTCCAGAGATGGAAGTTGATTGAGAGTGAGTCCACGTAGGTGCTCGGTGATATGGTTTTATAGTCTTGAATACGATGAATAGATGTAAATGTCGACTTTGTACAGCTTGTGATGTCCAATCCTGGGCTTTCTGTGTGTGTTGTTCGCCATGAGGTGGAAAGTCAACAGTTGGGATGTAGTCATGTAGTCATTGTTTATAGTTTACTTCTTCAGATGATAACCCACCACTTGAATGGTTACTAAAAGTTACGAATTGCCTGTATATTGTACAGTGATAATACAGTTGGTACATGTTTAGTGGTTTTATTATTATTATTATTTATTATTTTAGCTGAATGATATTTGGCATTTCACTATTTTTTTAGAGGTAATTTAAACGGATAATTATTTAGTAATTTTAAAATAATCTCTTGCCTATGAATGACCTTTGCTATGAACTGGTCAACATAATTTATACCACTGCCTGATTGCCCTTAGAATTTTTATTAAACATGCATAATTTTTGTAATTTTTTTTTTTTTTACAAAATAATAATATAGCCGTCTTTTGTAGTCTATTAATTTCAAGTCAAAACACTTATTATAATTGATTATTACAAAAAATATTACTATTATCATTTTAGGTTAATTTTATGTATGAAATTTTGTTTGCAAATCATTTCTGTTAATTCATCCTTGGGATGGGATCACAATACAATTTCACTTACATGTGTCCGCATGACATCTCTCCACACCCACCGATCGTTTGAGATCATGTTATGATGTATATGATTTATAGGGTTTTTTTATTCCCTAGGAAACCTTAACTTTTACCAAAGTAATTCTCTTCAATTTCCATAATAAGACCAAAAGCCATGAACTGGCAAACAATGGGACTACTCGGCCCTGTGATTGAAGCTTTGAGAATAATTTCGTCAAGTTGATAGTTCAAATCATGACAATCCCTTCCCCTACTCCATAGGTTAGGTATATGTTTGGTGGTGTTAAAACCAAACAAAACCAAAAAAATTAGGCAATAAGGCTACATTCTTGAAGTTCCTCACATATCCAAAAGAGAAAAAAAGTCTAATGCTGTGTTTGGTTGTAAGATTTGAGGAGAGATTTAGAAAGAGAAATGAAAAAGGTAAGTGAAATAAAATATAACCTTATAACCTTTGAAATAAAAGGTAGGTGAAATAGAAAATGAATAAGATAGTACAAAAACAAAACCTTTGTTATAAATAAAATATAAGACAAAATTATATATGTTTATGAGGCATTTGGTCTAGTAGTATGATTCTCAACTCACCTATAACTTAGGAATCCTGAGTTCAAATTAGGGGTGAAAGAATAACCGGAAGGACCGACCAAATCGATCGAACCGAACGATTTTCGGTCGGTGTTTTAAGTTTTCAATCGTTCGGTTCGGTTCGGTTTATTTTTTTCTGTACATTCGGTTCGGTTTATGGTTTTTGATTTTTTGAACCGAACTGCACTGAACCGAACCGACTTATATAATATTAATAGTCTTAAAATGCTAGCCAAAATGTGAGGCCCCAAACTTATGCAAGAATTACATAGTTTTAGGCCCAAATTTTATGCAAATGGATAAGAATATAGATCCAAAATGTGAAGCCCAAACCTATGTAGGAATTACATGGCTTGAGGCCCAAATTTTATGCAAATGGATAAAAATATAGACCCTAAAATGGATAGAAATATAGGCCCAAAATGTGAGGCCCAACCAGAAAAAAAAAAAAAAAAAAAAAGAGCTGAAAAATCAAAAAAATCGTACCGCACCGTAATAAACTGAACTGCGCCGGTTTATGTCATTTTTCTGGGCGGTTCGGTTCATAAATATGCAAAATCAAAATTACCGGTTCGGTGCAAAACCAGTGAAAAAACTGACCGAACCGAACCGATTTCACCCCTAGTTCAAATATTGGAACCTTTTTTTTATTTATTTTTAATTTCCAAATCATTATTGCCAATACAACTGCTCTTGATTGTCTTATTTGTTAATGTAATTCAACAAGATTTTGATGCAACCACTAGTGTCAGATTGGTGACAAACAAATAAAAAACAATCCATCTTTAGCCAATACAACTGGCACTCAAAAACACATTCGTTATCAACAATTGGGCATTTGGTCTAGTGGTATGATTCTTGCTTTGGGTGCAAGAGGTCCCGAGTTCGATTCTCGGAATGCCCCTTTCTTCTATTTCAAAGTCATTCTACATTTATTTATTTTTTTGAATCTTAGGCTTCGTTTGGGAACAAGCGTTTTTAGTAACTTTCTGGCTAAAATGTGATGTAAAAAAAACTAGTATGTTTGGGATAACTTTTTGATTTTTTACGAAAAGATGTGTAGAAAGTAGAGAGAAAAGGAAATCTTTGACTTTTTTGTATGAGTTGTTGGCTTTTTGGTTTTTTTAATAACTTTTTGACTTTTTTATTAAAATGGACACTTGCCAAACGAGGCCTTAATTTAGTCAATGCCTCGGCCTATTTCAATGTCTTTCTACTTTTATTTATTTATTTTAATCTTAATTTAGGGTCCGTTTGGGAAGAGTTTTTCTAGGTTTTTTTGGTTTTTTTAGCCACAAAAGACAAAATAGACTATTTCAGCCACAAAAAAACAAAACATCACATTCAACCCATAATTATTATATTTTTCTCTCACAAAAAAATTCAAAAAAGTCAAAAAACCCTTCCAAAACCAAACTTTTTAACCCAGGCTTAAATAATCAAAAAAACCAAAAAATCAAAAAGTCAACCCACTTCCCAAATGGAGGCTTAATCAATGCCTCAAAGCCAAAAACAACACTAGATCTCTTCTTGTGAAATGTGGTCGACTAGTGGGTTAGGTCTTCTTAAAAAACAATTAATTATTTGATTTAAAATATTACAATGAAATTTAATAAATTACAATAATTATAACAAAAATCATATATAATATATAAATTATACAAAGAAACATTTTAAGTGGAGAGATTCAAATTATAAATATATAGAAAATAAGACTTATACATATGTGGAGATATTCGAATCACTAATTTTTTAATGAGATATAAGAATTCTGGCCAATAAGATTAGCTCCATTAATTTGATGTAATTGTTCTACCATTTACATGTATTAATTTATGAAAAAAAAATCTGTTAGTCTTAGAATATTTTGTAGCATTACTTACGTGGTATTCTAAATAAATGATAAACCTCAAAGTACATTATGTGTTTGTTGTATCTTAATTACCTAACAAAGATGGATTATCATTATAATATCACAAAAATAATGTGACATATAGCTAGAGATTACTAAACACAAGAAAATTTATTAGTATGGAGTGACAAGAACAAGAAAAGAGTTATGTAAAAGAAGTATGCATGTAAGTTTTGATCATGAAGATCAATTTTATTTAATTTTTGATAGTTTTGAACAATTAATTTCTCTACATCTTACATTTTGTATTAGAATCTCTTCAATATTCCCATTAATTTTATATCAAGATCAAAGATATAAATAAGGTAAGAACTTACAAACAAAGCTGGGGAAAATTTTTTTAAATCAAGCAAACATTTTTAAATCAGCATCCATCACCTATCTGTCCACGATAGGAAGTCAATACAGTAGTTAATAATACAATTTACGAATCACAAAAAAGGCAATGAATATAGGAAACGAAGGGCCCACCAAAAAAAAAAAAACATTAGTTAAAGGTAAAAAAATACAGAAAGTGTCAAACATTGTGGGCATTTGGTCTAGTGGTATGATTCTTGCTTCGGGAGCAAGAGGTCCCGAGTTCGATTCTCGGAATGCCCCCATTTTTTTTTTTTTATTCATTCACTTGTGACTCAACTCACCTTTTTTTATTATTATTATTTACCATTTCTTGCGACTCAACTCACCTTTTTCTTCATTATTTACCATTTCTTGTGACTCAAGTCAACGCTGTAGTTAATAATACAATTTACGAATCACAAAAAAGGCAATGAATATAGAAAACGAAGGGCCCACAAAAAAAAATAAAAACTTAGTTAAAGGTAAAAAAATACAGAAAATGTCAAACATTGTGGGCATTTGGTCTAGTGGTATGATTCTTGCTTCGGGAGCAAGAGGTCCCGAGTTCGATTCTCGGAATGCCCCCAATTTTTTTTTTTTATTCATTCACTTGTGACTCAACTCACCTTTTTTTATTATTATTATTTACCATTTCTTGCGACTCAACTCACCTTTTTCTTCATTATTTACCATTTCTTGTGACTCAACCCACCTTTTTCTTTATTATTTACCTTTGGTGTTTTGGGAGGAGGTTTGGAAGTTGTTCAACAAAAATACTTGTTTGATATACACAAATATTTTCAAGCAAAATAAAAAATAAGTTTGATGTGTCGCCGAAAGTGGCCACTCAAGTTCATGGGGGTGTCGGAGAGTTGTCAAAGGTTACAGGTGGTGACCATTTGATCGTCAAAGCCGGCCAAAGCTTGCTAGCCACCGGTGGCAGCGGTGGCTGATGGCTTGAAGTGGTGGGGGGTGAAAACAGAGAGTCAACACTTGTAAATGAAAAGTGAACACTTTCTTCTTCTTTTTTTTTTTTCAAACTCAATTCCATTTCTTTGAAAACATAAGCAATATACCATTTGAAAACATAAAGCAAAATACCAAACAAACTTTTATTTTTATTTTTAAAAAAAATGAAAATGATAACAGAAAATAGAAAATGAAAACGTTACCAAACAACCCGAAACTCATCCAAAGACCTGAATGGCTTTCTTGCATCAACTCAAGTTGGGAGACCATAATAGGCCAAATCTCTCAGCAAAATACAGTATGTCAATGTGAGTTGCATTTGTAAAGGAAAAGAAAATCCTGTTTCTCCAAAACAAAAACAAAAACAATAAATGGTTACCCATAACAGACCTCTAAAATTCGTTGAAAAATCCAAAGGTATTACCCACAATGAGCTCTTAAAGATGGGAACCACCCAATGTATTTACCAGTTCACAATGGTCAAGTTGATCACAAATTTTTGGTCCAATAGTATGATTCATTCTAAATGTGGGCTCTACAGTATCAGAGTTGGATCTAAACCACAACTTTTTTTTTTGGCTATTTTCTTGTGTGTGAGTTCTTGACGCCTGAGCAAAAGACATCAATGCGAAGATGGCAAAGGCAAGAGCAAATATGTAACCCCGGTAGTAATTCTAATGCTAAAATCAATCACAACCATAAAAGTTCCATCAACTAATCAAAGTGTGACTAGAATTAAGCCAGATATGAGACATCAAAATTAAGTCAAACAAAGCTGCTGAAATTCTCCACTGCAACTGGTCAATATAATATAACACATTCATCTAAAATATTATGTAATTAACACTAACAGTAGGGCATTTGGTCTAGTGGTATGATTCTCGCTTTGGGTGCGAGAGGTCCCGAGTTCGATTCTCGGAATGCCCCACATGATAGAACTGGTTTAATGATTATCAGTGGTTTTTATTTTCTTTAATATTATTATTATTATTATTTTTTAAAAAAAAAGTCAACTTAAAAACCTAACCTGAATATGTCAATAACATTCTGATAAGATTCTCCATTGTAGATCGAGAAGAAACAACCAGCAGATATTCACACATGGCATGAAAATCAGACAAACCTGTAACTTTATTAAGATCAGACAATGACTTCATAGTTTGCACTGCTCTATGTGATTCTGCAATAAATCTTAAACAGTGTAATATAATCTTATTCTTAAAGTCATCCAAAATGTCACTAAATCCAAAAATATATGTTTTCTGACAAGATTTTCAACAGAATATCGAGCAAATCAACCAAACAAATCCAAGATAAGATGAGATAAGATGAGACAGGATTGAACCTAAACTTCATCTTCATCCCTTGCTCTTTAAACTTGAAAATGAAAGCATTTATTTGATGTCCTCTGGCCCCGGTTTATATATCCATGAATAGCAAATGAAGTAAATAATTCAGAGTATAGTTAGCAACCAATCCAAGATAAGATGATCTAGCTAGTAGCTATACAGCACCGGAACGGAAAATAGCTTGTCAACCAGCAATTGTTGCCCAAACAAATTTTTAGAATAAGAATTTAGCTATCCAAATTTTATGCACTTGGAATACATGTTTTAATCTCTAAGCCATTTGAAGGTACACGAAATCATTGCAAATTGTGCAGTCAGTAAAAAACAAACTGACCAAAAACTGATATTTTTAACTGTCAACAATTGGGCATTTGGTCTAGTCCTGAGTTCAAGAATGCCCCATTTAATCAGTGAATTCACTCATCCTATCAAGTTTGTTTATTATACTTATTTATTTTCAAAATCAATAAAAGAATATCAAAACCCAAGTCATCCCAAAAATTATCAAATCTAGCTTCTTACAGCCAACATTCTCACAAAAGAAATGGTAACAAGAAGAAGATAGCATGCTAAACTATTTTATGTGGGTAGCAAGGCCCAGCCAAACACAGGAAAGCTTAACGTTGTGTTTGGTTGGGGGATTTGGAATAGGATTTGAAAAGAGAAAGGGGAAAAATAAGTAAAATGTAAATAAAATATATCTAAATTTCACATAATTTTACACACATTTTTCCATTCCTTTTCCAAATTTCTTTCCAAATCTCTCAACTAAACACAATGTAACACAAAGGAGAAGAAAAGGAGATAGTGCATAGACAAGATCGATCTTGTAATCTTTTGGACACTGCTTCAAGCACGTCTGGATGAGATAGGCTTTTACTCACTAATTTTTTTTTGTCATGGAGGAAAATTTTTAGGCAGCTGACAACAGAAAAAAAATTCTTCGTTTTCCTTGTTTTGTTTTGAACATTTGACCATAAAATTTCGACTGAAAGTTCACTTAAAATCATCAGCTACAAAATGTTAATCAATGAATGATTTCACTGGACCTTCATTAATGAATAATAAAATAAATAAGAGGCAGTGAATTTACTCACCATGCTTTCAGTGCTCTATTTTATTTAGTTTTGAAACTTGGACCACAATTATATAATCAAAAGTCAACTTTAAACCATATAGAAAAATGTTAATGAGACAAATATAGTACCAACTAGTGAATCTAAACAAAGCAAATTGATTAGGAATAGTATGCAACAAGCATAAACAGTCGGGCATTTGGTCTAGTGGTATGATTCTCGCTTTGGGTGCGAGAGGTCCCGAGTTCGATTCTCGGAATGCCCCAATTTTTTTAGTCAGCTAATCAAATGATCTGTATAATTTTAATTGCTGTGATTTTGTTTTAAATCTTAAGCAATGAATTCAAGTTAAAAGTCCACTTGAACAGCTGAATTTTTTAATACAACCATTTACAATTTCTGACAAGATTCTTTATCATAGATTGAGAAAAATAACCAGCAGGTGTTTATATAACGTATGAAAACCACAACAAAATGTGTAACTTCATTACCAATCAGTGAATTGACTTACCTGTATAGTTGTCAGTTCTCTGGGGGATTCTGTTATATGTCTTGAGGAGCATAGTATGCTCTAGAGTCAACTTTAACACCTAACCAAAACATGTTAGTTAATCCAAAAATGTACGTTGTCTAACAAGATTTTTCATCTGGTGATTGAGAAGAAGCAAGTAGCAAATTCTGATACCAAGGTATGCAGACCAGGATTAGATATGTAACTTCAGTATCACCACTTGCTCATACACCCAGAAAAACAAAGCTTTTATTATGCATTTACTCATGAAGAACAAATCAACTATGTGTTCAACCAAAAATAATTCCAACTACCAGAGTTGAGGTTCTAAACAACAAAATCCAAAAAAAGATGACATGGAATTTTTTTTGGTGAAACATGATTTGCACTTGCCATCCTATTGCATTGTAATTTCAGGAGCCAGAAATAATATCTGATATCATCTAATATAGCGCTATTCCCTATCATGACTTGGCATGTATACATGTTGATGCTAATAACATGCAGCACCATTAACAGGTACCAAGGTATTATATTATCAATCAATGTTGTTAACCAGCAAACTAGCAGTGTGGTCAGCAAAGTAACCCAGGTTTCCATGGTATAGAATCCAAATAATCTTCGACAATGACTCATCAGTCACTAGGTATGGTATATAAAGCATAATGAGAGTTCTATAAGCAACTAGAAACATCTGGGAATGCTGTTTTGATTGGGTTATGATAACAGCACAAGTCCAAAGTAGTGGTTGGATTTCAGATTTGATTTCTCTTACAATATGTCTAGGACCCTTCATACACCTGCCTAACAAATTGAGTCCAGCTTTCCATGGTACAAGAACATAAAACCACCTTTTCAGCATTAATCGCCTAAGGTAAACCAAATCATTGCAAATACAACTGGCACTCAAAAACACATTGACAACAAATAGCTAATGAAAGTCATCAATAATTGGGCATTTGGTCTAGTGGTATGATTCTCGTTTTGGGTGCGAGAGGTCTCGAGTTCGATTCTCGGAATGCCCCATTGAATCAAGGAGTATAGCTGATAAAGTTTTTTATTATACTTTTTACCTAACCATAATGAATGAATATCACAACCCAAGTCAACTCACATAATTATAAACTCCTTACTAGCAAGATTCTTATAAGAAAACATAGCCAAAGTGAATAATAAAAAAAGAACTTGCAAATTGGCACTACAATCTAGATGCCATATATCCGAATTCCTCTCTATCAAGAGACCTAAATGCCTTACTGTAAGTAAGGGTGGGCTACATCTTCTAAGCTGGGTTCTCTGTAAAACTCCACAGAAACAAATTACAAAGTAGTCTTCGAAAATCCTCAAACATGTCTTAAAACTTTTACTACTTGCCTAGCCAAGTGACATCACTTGAAGCAATTCTATTGCAGCATAAATAGTATTGCTCATTTTCAGTTTCAATCTATCAAAGGTTCACTAAGCCAATTTAATTGATATATAGGCAACAATCAAAAAACGAAACACAATAAACACAAATTAAACAATATAGCCATCCGCAATTGGCATTTGGCCAACTTGAAAAAAATTATAATGCTTTCTCTGTGTGAGGAAGTGTCTCAAGCTTGAGTCTCATTCAGGAAGAATTTTTTTAACCAATGTAGAGGAATTTATTTATTTATTTATTTTAGAAAAAAAAATGGACAGATGATACTCTAAGTAAATTTCATAAGCAAGAAATAAGGTGAATCATCAAGTTAATTGCTGCTACTACTACTACTAGTACTTTAAAAGTAGAAATGATTGACAAAAGAAAAAGAAAAGAACATTTGAGGTATCTTTTAACATTGTAATGCATACTTACGATTCCCACTCCTTTTCCAAATTTCTTTCCAAATCTCTCAACCAAACACAGTGTAACACAAAGGAGAAGAAAAGGAGATAGTGCATAGACAACATCGATCTTGTAATCTTTTGGACACTGCTTCAAGCACGTCTGGATGAGATAGGCTTTTACTCACTAAATTTTTTTTATCATGGAGGAAAATTTTTAGGCAGCTGACAACAGAAAAAAAAATTCCTTGTTTTCCTTGTTTTGTTTTGAACATTTGACCATAAAATTTCGACTGAAAGTTCACTTAAAATCATCAGCTACAAAATGTTAATCAATGAATGATTTCACTGGACCTTCATCAATGAATAATAAAATAAATAAGAGGCAGTGAATTTACTCAGCATGCTTTCAGTGCTCTATTTTATTTAGTTTTGAAACTTGGACCACAATTATATAATCAAAAGTCAACTTTAAACCACATAGAAAAATGTTAATGACACAAATATAGTACCAACTAGTGAATCTAAACAAAGCAAATTGATTAGGAATAGTATGCAACAAGCACAAACAGTTGGGCATTTGGTCTAGTGGTATGATTCTCGCTTTGGGTGCGAGAGGTCCCGAGTTCAATTCTCGGAATGCCCCAATTTTTTTAGTCAGCTAATCAAATGATCTGTATAATTTTAATTGCTGTGATTTTGTTTTAAATCTTAAGCAATGTATTCAAGTCAAAAGTCCACTTGAACAGCTGAATTTTTTAATACAACCATTAACAATTTCTGACAAGATTCTTTATCATAGATTGAGAAAAATAACCAGCAGGTGTTTATATAACGTATGAAAACCACAACAAAATGTGTAACTTCATTACCAATCAGTGAATTGACTTACCTGTATAGTTGTCAGTTCTCTGGGGGATTCTGTTATATGGCTTGAGGAGCATAGTGTGCTCTAGAGTCAACTTTAACACCTAACCAAAACATGTTAGTTAACCAAAAAATGTATGTTGTCTAACAAGATTTTTCATCTGGTGATTGAGAAGAAGCAAGTAGCAAATTCTGATACCAAGGTATGCAGACCAGGATTGGATCTGTAACTTCAGTATCACCACTTGCTCATACACCCAGAAAAACAAAGCTTTTATTATGCATTTACTCATGAAGAACAAATCAACTACGTGTTCAACCAAAAATAATTCCAACTACCAGAGTTGAGGTTTTAAACAACAAAATCCAAAATAAGATGATACGGATTTTTTTTTGGTGAAACATGATTTGCACTTGCCATCCTATTGCATTGTAATTTCAGGAGCCAGAAATAATATCTGATATCATCTAATATAGCTCTATTCCCTATCATGACTTGGCATGCATACATGATGCTAACAACATGCAGCACCATTAACAGGTACCAAGGTATTATATCAATCAATGTTGTTATCCAGCAAGCTAGCAGTGTGATCAGCAAAGTAACCCAGGTTTCCATGGTATAGAATCCAAATAATCTTAGATGACTCATCAGTCACTAGGTATGGTATATAGAGCATAATGAGAGTTCTATAAGCAACTAGAAACATCTGGGAATGCTGTTTTGATTGGGTTATGATAACAGCACAAGTCCAAAGTAGTGATTGGATTTCAGATTTGATTTCTCTTACAATATGTCTAGGACCCTTCATACACCTGCCTAACAAATTGAGTCCAGCTTTCCATGGTACAAGAACATAAAACCACCTTTTCAGCATCAATCACCTAAGGTAAACCAAATCATTGCAAATACAACTGGCACTCAAAAACACATTGACAACAAATAGCTGATGAAAGTCATCAATAATTGGGCATTTGGTCTAGTGGTATGATTCTCGCTTTGGGTGCGAGAGGTCCCGAGTTCAATTCTCGGAATACCCCATTGAATCAAGGAGTATAGCTGATAAAGTTTTTTATTATACTTTTTACCTAACCTTAATGAATGAATATCACAACCCAGGTTTTTATTATACTTTTTACCTAACCTTAATGAATGAATATCACAACCCAGGGCAACTCACATAATTATAAACTCTTTGCTAGCAAGATTCTTATAAGAAAACATAGCCGAAGTGAATAATAAAAAAAAAAAACTTGCAAATAGGCACTACAATCTAGATGCCATATATCCAAATTCCTCTCTATCAAGAGACCTAAATGCCTTACTGGAAGTAATGATGCACTACATCCTCTAAGATACGTTCTCCGTAAAACTCCGCTGAAACAAATTACAAAGTAGTCTTCGAAAATCCTCAAACATGTCTTAAAACTTTTCCTACTTGCCTAGCAAAGTGACATCACTTGAAGCAATTCTATTGCAGCAGAAATAGTATCGCTCATTTTGAGTTTCAATCTATCAAAGGTTCACTAAGCCAATTTAATTGTGATATAGGCAACAATCAAAAAAAAAAAAAAAACACAATAAACACAAATTAAACAATATAGCCATCCGCAATTGGCATTTGGCCAACTTGAAAAAAATTATAATGCTTTCTCTGTGTGAAGAATTGTCTCAAGCTTAAGTCTCATTCAGGAAGAAATTTTTTAACCAATGTAGTGGAATTTATTTATTTATTTTAGAAAAAAAAATGGACAGATGATACTCCAAGTTAATTTCACAAGCACAGAATTAGGTGAATCATCAAAGTCAAATTGTTTACCAACAAGACTTGTATTAGACTATTTAAGGATGCAAGGTAAGACTTAAATGTACCTTGTTTGTGACGTAAGAAAGGTTCTGCAGTGAAACTAAAGCAACAATCACCACTCAAACATAAGTACTTAAAGGAGAAACTAGTTACACAACAATAATAAAGTCAAATCAAACTGAAAAATCAACCACAAAGGAGCATTATCGTTTAGGAATCAAAGAAACATATAGTAACGTTAGATAATCAATCAAATCAACAAACCCTTGTCCTATTTATTTGGGGCTACATGGATTTGTTTCCTGCAGATGACACCACTAAAAGCCATGTCCTCAGTCAAATTTAAGGCAAATGTAAAAATAACAAAGGAGTCTATGCCATGTCATTATGGTATTCTAATTCCTTGTCAACTGTGAAAATGCATCAGACAAGTTCAAATTCATCTAAACAAATGTTTTCCACCACATTCTTCATTGTCATCAAGAAGAGAAAAATATGTAGCAGAACTATCCATATAGGTTGTCAAACTATTATCAGATTGATAACCTCTTCACCACTGAAGAAAAAACAATAGTATAAACAATAGTATTATCAGATTGATAACTCTCAAAATTTTCATGAATTTTGACTTACTGCGATGACATTTACGAGCGATGTTTTCCCTGCATTTTGAAGCCCTATCAAAGATAATTCCATTTCTTGCTTGAAAAAAAGGCTGCAATATACAAATATATAAGTGTTAAAAAATTTAACAAATCCAATTGACTGGCAATACCCACTTGATGTATCAATCGCCCAATATACACTAATACGCAAAAGAAAAAAAAAAGAAAAAAAGTGGGTTCGTTTAAAAAAGCAAATGTTGGGGGTACAGCGGAGAGGCAAGGCAGTTTAATCAAATGTAATTTCTTACTCAACCTGACAAAGCACATGTAATAAATCCTCGTACTAGATTACATAATTCTAACAAAGTTACCACATAGACACATAACAAGGGAACGATGGTATAACCTATTTACTGAACCAAAAGTTTTGAGAAGATAACCTAGATCCCAAATAAATGAATAAACAAAAAAGAAAAGAAAAGATGGGATATAAACTATTTTAGAATAAAACATAACATGTTAAGTATAATTTTAGCAAAACAATTCTCTTTATACATTAAATTTTACATCTAACAAAGTTACCACATAGACACATAACAAGGGAAAGATGGTATAACCTATTTACTGAACCAAAAGTTTTGAGAAGATAACCTAGATCCCAAATAAATGAATAATAAAAAAAAAAAGATGGGATATAAACTATTTTAGAATAAAACATAACATGTTAAGTATAATTTTAGCAAAACAATAAATGGAAAATAAGATGGAGTATAACTCAAAGCCAAGAGATACGTGTAAGTAACCAATTTTTATATTTTCGATCAATTATTTATATAGAATGAGACTCATAAAATTAGATCAAGTTGGATGAAATATGTTAAAATTGATATATTATTGATTGATATATATTGATTTCTATTACAATGATTCATGATTCCTATATATAGAAGAGGGTGAGTGTGTAGTAGGTAAGGAGTAGGTGAAGTGGAGGTGGTAGTGGTGTAGTGGGTTAGGTTTAGTGGAGTAGGTTTAAGAGGGTGAAGTAGGTGGAGAGTAGGTGGATTTTAACAAAATAGAAAGTGCATCAAGAGTGACAGAAACAGGAAAGTTAAAAAGGATAGTTTCATAGGACTTCTGTCAAGCTTGCTATGATACACAGTACAAAATGTCAGATGGTTACGAAACAATATGTTCGAAACATGAGTATAATTGAAATGAGAATGTTGAGATGGATGTTAGACCACCAATTGCCCCAAAAGCATCAGCTGTTAGGAAATGAGCCCAACAATTTATATCAAGCTATTCAACACTTTCCCTCACATGCAAACTTGTCTTGCACATGAAGATGCAAACATCCATACATACAAAGAAAAGAAAACTGCAAACAAGAGAAGAAAAATACAAACGGGGAACAAACGCAAACAAACAAACTTGAACCCAAGACCAACTCAAGCCTAAACTCTGATATCATGTTAGATTACCAATTGTCCAAAAAATTTAAGTTGTTAAGAAATGAGCCCAACAATATATATTAAGCTATTAAATGATAAGATTGTCTTGATCTTGAGTGTTGATCTTAACCGGGGATATGGCTTTCAATAGAGCCAATTTGAGGAAAAGATCCATGCAACCAACCCCAACTAATTGGGATAAAGGATCGTTGAGTTATGTATCATTAACTCAAAACATAGTTAAAAAATGACCCCAAGTTTATTTTGTTTTATTCATTCACTTCACTTGTGACTCAACTCACTTTTTTCTTTATTATTTACCATTTCTTGTGACTCAACCCACCTTTTTCTTTATTATTTACCTTTGGTTTTTTGGGAGGAGGTTTGGAAGTTGTTCAACAAAAATACTTGTTTGATGTACACAAATATTTGCAAGCAAAATAAAAAATAAAAAATAAGTTTGATGTGTTGCCGAAAGTGGCCACCAAAGTTCATGGGGGTGTTGGAGAGTCGTCAAAGGTCACAGGTGTTGACCATTTGATCATCAAAGCCGGCCAGAGCTTTGCTAGCCACCGGTGGCAGCAGTGGCTGATGGCTTGAAGTGGTGGGTTGAAAACAGAGAGTCAACACTTATTAATGAAAAGTGAACATTTTTTTTTATTTTTTTTTGTTTTTTCAAACTCAATTCCATTTCTTTGAAAACATAAGCAATACATCATTTGAAAACATAAAGCAATATACCAAACAAACTTTTATTTTTATTTAAAAAGAAATGAAAATGATAATAGAAAATGAAAATGTTACCAAACGACCTGAAACTAATCCAAAGACCTGAATGGCTCTCAAGTTTCTTGCATCAACTCTAGTTGGGAGACCATAATGTCAATCTCTCAGCAAAAAACAGTATGTCAATGTGAGTTGCATTTACAAAGGAAAAGAAAATCATGTTTCTCCAAAACAAAAACAAAAAATGGTTACCCATAACAGACCTCTAAAATTCGTTGAAAAATCCAAAGGTATTACCCACAATGAGCTCTTAAAGATGGGAACCACCCAATGTATTTACCAGTTCACAATGGTCAAGTTGATCACAAATTTTTAGTCCAATAGTATGATTCATTCTAAATGTGGGCTCTACAGTATCAGAGTTGGATCTAAACCACAACTTTTTCTTATTGCTATTTTCTTGTGTATCTTGATCCCTGAGCAAAAGATATCAATGCGAAGATGGCAAAGTCAAAGAGCAAATATGTAACCCCGGTAGTAATTCTAATGCTAAAATCAATCACAACCATAAAAGTTCCATCAACTAATCGAAGTGTGACTAGAATTAAGCCAGATATGAGACATCAAAATTAAGTCAAACAAAGCTGCTGAAATTCTCCACTGCAACTGGTCAATATGATATAACACATTCATCTAAAATAATATGCAATTAACACTAATAGTAGGGCATTTGGTCTAGTGGTATGATTCTCGCTTTGGGTGCGAGAGGTCCCGAGTTCGATTCTCGGAATGCCCCACATGATAGAACTGGTTTAATACTTATCAGTGTTTTTTATTTTCTTTAATATTATTATTATTTTTATTTTTATTTTAAAAAGTCAACTTAAAAACCTAACCTGAATATGTTAATAAAATTCTGATAAGATTCTCCATTGTAGATTCAGAAGAAACAAGCAGCAGATGTTTATACAAGGCATGCAAACCAGACAAACCTGTAACTTCATTAAGATCAGTCAATGACGTCATAGTTTTCAGTGCTCTATGTGATTCTGTGATAAATCTTAAACAGTGTAATATAATCTTATTCTTAAAGTCATCCAAAATGTCACTAAATCCAAAAATATATGTTTTCTGTGGGTAGTAGGTGAGGGTAAATTGGTGGTAGGTGTAGTAGGTGTGGTAGTAGGTGGTGGTAGGTGTAGGTAAATTCTAACATTTATGCAAGGCATGCAAACCAGACAAACCTGTAACTTCATTAAGATCAGTCAATGACGTCATAGTTTTCAGTGCTCTATGTGATTCTGTGATAAATCTTAAACAGTGTAATATAATCTTATTCTTAAAGTCATCCAAAATGTCACTAAATCCAAAAATATATGTTTTCTGACAAGATTTTCAACAGAATATTGAGCAAATCAATGAAACAAATCCAAGATAAGATGAGACAGGATTGAACCTGAACTTCATCTTCATCCCTTGCTCTTTAAACCTGAAAATGAAAGCATTTATTTGGTGTCCTCTGGCCTTGGTTTATATATCCATGAATAGCAAATGAAGTAAATAATTCCGAGTATAGTTAGCAACCAATCCAAGATAAGATGATCTAGCTAGTAGCTATACAGCACCGGAATGGAAAATAGCTTGTCAACCATCAATTGTTACCTAAACAAATTTTTTAGAATAATAATTTAGCTATCCAAATTTACGCACTTGGAATACATGTTTTAAGCTCTAAGCCATTTGAAGGTACACGAAATCATTGCAAATTGTGCAGTCAGTAAAAAACAAACTGACCAAAAACTGATATTTATAACTGTCAACAATTGGGCATTTGGTCTAGTCCTGAGTTCAAGAATGCCCCATTTAATCAGGGAATTCACTCATCCTATCAAGTTTGTTTATTATACTTGTTTATTTTCAAAATCAATAAAAGAATATCAAAACCCAAGTCATCCCACAAATTATCAAATCTAGCTTCTTACAGCCAACATTCTCATGAAAGAAATGGTAACAAGCTATGAAGCACGGATACTTCAAAAAGGGTAACGTATCCGTATCGGATACTTATCGGATACCGATACTCCTCGGATACTCGCGGATACGTATCGGATACTTCTTAAAAGTATCAGATACTTCTTAATTAATTTTTTATTAATTTTGAAGTATCGGATACTTAATTTTGAAGTATCGGATACTCGAAGTTATATATTACTTATAATATTTTGTTTAGTTCTTTGATAAGAGGAATATAGTGAGAGTTAAAGTAATAAAATTTGTCAAATTGATGTATCCTTGTTGTCTCTCTCACTTCTCTCTCGCTTTCTCACTCTCTCACGTTTCCTCTCTCTGCTCTCATTCTTTTTTTGGTGTTGGCATGTAAGGATGATGTTTAATTTGCATTTGCATTTGCATTTGCTTTTGCTTTTAGTTTTGGATGTTTTATGAATGTTTGAGCACTTTTAGGTTAATAAGAATCCCTCTCTTTATTTATTAATTTACTTTAAGTTTTATTTTCATGCATATTACATTATTAAAATTATAAAAAAAAAAAAAAAAAAAAAAAAAAAAAAAAAAAAAAAAAAAAAAAAAAAAGAGAATTATTATCTTATCAATAAAATATGCAATTTAACATTTTTCGAAAAGTGGATTTTTTGACTTAGTTTTCAAATTGGAAGTCCCCGTGCTAGTTCAATAAATTTTCACAACTTACATTGGTCCTTCCCGTGGTGTTTGGGGTGTTTCTCAAGCCTTTTCGTGGTTGTTTCACGATTTTTGCCCTAATGGCCTATTTTCAAGCCTAAGTGTCGAAAAAAATACATTTTTCGGCTTAGTTTTCAAACTGGGAGTCCCGTGCTAGTTCCATAAGTTTCCACAATTTACATTGGTCCCTTCCTAGGTCTTTCGGTTGTTCCCTGGGCCTTCTCGTGGCTGTTTCACGATTTTGGCATCTGATGGCCTATTCTCAAGCCTAAGTGTTGGAAAAGTGTATTTTTCTACTTACTTTTCAAATAGGGAGTCCCGTGCTAGTTCCATATGTTTCCACAACTTACATCAGTCCCTTCTGAGGTGTTCGGGATGTTCCCCGAGCATTCTTGTGGCTGTTTCACGATTTTGGAGCCCGATAGCATATTTCCAAGCCTAAGTGTTAGAAAAGTGCATTTTTCTACTTGGTTTGCAAATCGGGAGTCCCGTGATAGTTCTGTAAGTTTTCACAACTTACATTGGTCCCTCCATGGAATTTTTTTTGGTGAAACATGATTTGCACTTGCCATCCTATTGCATTGTAATTTCAGGAACCAGAAATAATATCTAATATCATCTAATATAGCTCTATTCCCTATCATGACTTGGCATGTATACATGTTGATGCTAATAACATGCAGCACCATTAACAGGTACCAAGGTATTATATCAATCAATGTTGTTATCCAGCAAGCTAGCAGTGTGATCAGCAAAGTAACCCAGGTTTCCATGGTATAGAATCCAAATAATCTTAGATGACTCATCAGTCACTAGGTATGGTATATAGAGCATAATGAGAGTTCTATAAGCAACTAGAAACATCTGGGAATGCTGTTTTGATTGGGTTATGATAACAGCACAAGTCCAAAGTAGTGGTTGGATTTCAGATTTGATTTCTCTTACAATATGTCTAGGACCCTTCATACACCTGCCTAACAAATTGAGTCCAGCTTTCCATGGTACAAGAACATAAAACCACCTTTTCAGCATCAATCGCCTAAGGTAAACCAAATCATTGCAAATACAACTGGCACTCAAAAACACATCGACAACAAATAGCTAATGAAAGTCATCAATAATTGGGCATTTGGTCTAGTGGTATGATTCTCGCTTTGGGTGCGAGAGGTCTCGAGTTCGATTCTCGGAATGCCCCATTGAATCAAGGAGTATAGCTGATAAAGTTTTTTATTATACTTTTTACCCAACCTTAATGAATGAATATCACAACCCAGTTTTTTATTATACTTTTTACCTAACCATAATGAATGAATATCACAACCCAAGTCAACTCACATAATTATAAACTCCTTACTAGCAAGATTCTTATAAGAAAACATAGCCAAAGTGAATAATAAAAAAAGAACTTGCAAATTGGCACTACAATCTAGATGCCATATATCCGAATTCCTCTCTATCAAGAGACCTAAATGCCTTACTGTAAGTAAGGGTGGGCTACATCTTCTAAGCTGGGTTCTCTGTAAAACTCCACAGAAACAAATTACAAAGTAGTCTTCGAAAATCCTCAAACATGTCTTAAAACTTTTACTACTTGCCTAGCCAAGTGACATCACTTGAAGCAATTCTATTGCAGCATAAATAGTATTATGTATTTTCTTGTTTTGTTCCTCTCTCCAAACTCAAGTTGGTTAGTTTCTATCCTCCTTGAGTTTGCGGGGGGCTGTTAAAACTTATCATCTTACCATCACCTACTACACTTACCACCACCTACTACCATCACCTACTACACCTACCACCATCCACCTACTCCACTACATCTCCTATATAAGGAGCCCCTCACATTTGTAATTTATACATCAATACATAAATCAATCAATAATACATCAAAGTTTAACAACAATAAACACAAATTAAACAATATAGCCATCCACAATTGGCATTTGGCCT